GACACCACAAGAGAAGGCACTGCATGCTGCAGGAGACCCGTGTGCACGGCCACTTTGTGCCTCTTGATAAGCTTCTGTCAGGGCAAAAGTATTATTTCACATCACTGTTTTGAGGTGAAGACACAGGTCTGCTCCCTCCCTGAACGAGTGCCAGGGGAGAAGACGATACGGCTGTATCAGTAGCATCCCTGTGGCCCTTCCAGCACTGCTGAGAATGAATTAACTGTATCTGGCTCCAGGCCAGGCCCCGGCGGTGGAGCTGGCTCTCTTAAAAATTCTCGTGCTATTTGCAGCATCTCTCCAATCATGGCTCAGGCTGCTGGCTGAGAAATCTGCTGGTATTGGTTTTGGTTTGTTTCTAAGACATTTCTCAGCATTGTGGTTGCACGAGAAGCTGAAAACTCATGTTTCAAAACCCCAGCCAGAAGGACAGGTGCTGCCGTCGCTATTTACACAGCACCATCGCGTTCGGGAGGTCTCCAAGCTAAAAAGATAACCCCATCCCGGGTTTCCTAGGTCTTAAAGTTTCTAAAATGCTAAGCAAGACTTCTATTCCAGGGTGCGCTGGGTGGCACTGTTGCCGAGCTGGGTGCGGATGAGCAGAGCTCCCTGCAGAAGCAGCCAGCCTGCGAAGGCGTCCTGCTCCCGTGCACTGCCCTGGCTGCGGGCAGAGGCTGGGCCAGCATCGCTCTGTGCAAGGCAGGACCTCAGCGGCCTTTCTGACCTGTTGTGGCTGTTGTAGAGATCTTTAGCACAGCTTCCTGTTCTTCGTTTGACATGTTTAACACTTAGTTTTTTCCAACTGATAGTGCTGATGTTTTTCTTGGATTTTTTTTCTTGAGGAAGACAAGGAGCCCTGGGGGAAGCAGCCTGCCCGAGAGGCACCATATCCCCACACGGGGTGCTTTGGGAGCAGGGAAAGCACCACCAGGGAAGCAGAAGCAAGGCCCTGACCTGGGGCAGAGGAGAGCTGCCCTGGGTAATCTCCCGTCGTGTTTTCAGGGCTGTTGCTCTGTGTGAAAGCACTGCCATCACTGGCCTCCTTTTCCCAATAACATTTCTGGCAGTGGGCAGTTCCTCAGCTGCAGGTTCAAAGCCAGACATGCAAGAAGTGCTTCTCAAATTATAAGCTTTCCCCTAATACCTATCAATTCCATCCCAGGTGTCAAAGCAACAGGTTACATAGCAGAGAGCGCCAACACGACACAAGTCAGTCATATGCATCATCTGGCCAGAAACAGGAGTATCCATTAGCTTGGGCCCACTAGGCAGAGGAGCACAGCTGCTTTGCTAACGCTCTGGCATCCCTTGCGCGTTTTTTTTGCTAGTGCTCAGTAACCAGACAACACCTACAGGGCCACCACTTGGAAGGAAAGTGGCACGTGGAAATATCCTGATGGTCAACATTATCTAAGAGAAATCACACCCCACTGCCTACAAACATTCCTCCAAATGCTGGGTCTTGCCCGTCAGCCCAGCAGACTGTCAAGCATAGTTCCCAGCAACACTACACAGCTCGCATTTGGTACAGCACGCCTCCCAGCCAGCTCTGCAGCTGTTTGAGGTCTTCAGCCTCATCAGAACAGCAAACCTAGGACGTCAGCCACTCGTGACAGTGGTAAAGACTTTTGAAGCCCAGAGGAAGAAGCACACATTCCCATCCTCTGTATAGCTCATTGTAGAGATAAACACAGGACTATCAATGAGGGATCTCCATAGCAACTTGCTGCTTCTTGCCTCTGCCTGAAACAAACCACTTCCTCTGCAGCTCTTGCCACTCAGAAGAGACTTCTGGTTTGTCTTGGCTTTTAGAGATGATCTTTATTCACTTCACCTGCAATAAACTTTTTGTCTTCTAAACTCTCCCTTTGCTGCTAGTGGAGGTTTCATGTTGCGTCTAAACCAAGAACCACAGGTGCCATGAGGTCTGGAACACACACTTGGGACTTCGTTTTTGGTCAAGAAAGAACAAACCTGAAACGATCTGGAGTATCCAGACTCACAGTGCTTGCTTGGGAGACCCCAGGCTTGTTAAGCTGAACCAGAGCAAACATGACATGCAGAGGACCACCTCTTGGTTCACCAGTGTCATCATAGAGAACCATGGTGATCTGAAAGGGAAAACAAAAACACTTTACGAAAGCTAAAGGGTGCACCAAGGAGCTGTACCATTGCTATCTTCCAAAGCATTGTGAGAAACATGCAGAAAAAGGTAGGACACTGCCACAGCCTCAGCAGCTGGCCCTTCAAAAAAAACCTTCGGCAGCCTAACTCCTCACAGGATACCACAGCAGCAACGAGCATGGACTTCCAGGGGATTTCACTGAACTTCCTTCTGTCTCCTCCGTCCTCCGGCTTTGAAGGTCACTGTCAAATGGAATTGAGATTTCTTCCCTCTGTTACTCACCAGCAAGACAACAATCTGCCCTCAATGCCTGCATTAATGCAACATTACAGTGTGAAACAAGGGTCTGGCTGCCTCAGGGAACAGATTTCAGAGTTTTCACTGAACGGCTGCTGGAAGCTCAAGATGGGAAGGGACCTGCACTTGGCTTGCTCCACTGGCTCAGAGTTCACATGGTCATCTGCAACACTTGTTACTTGCTCTTCCCACACCAGCACTCTGCTCCTCTCGCCCCAAGACATCCACCCAGAGCTCCCCACCCAGGCAGAAACCAGATCAGGCACCGACAGCTCACCTGAGCACTTCTCAGGGGGCAGACGAAGGGACTGGGGCTCACGTGCTATGAAATCCTAATCCTTACTCTGCCACGAGGTTCTTGCATGGCCTCAGACACTTTTTGGCTTGCAAGTTTCCATTCTGTCTGTGAGAAGAGCTAATCCTTATTATCAGGCAGACGCAACATTTGGATTAATTACACTCAGAGTGCTGAGGCAATGAATAATACACAGCACCACTCTCTCAGCGCTGTCATTTGAGGGAAACTACATAAAATACAAACACTGATGGTGTGTGTGTTTGCAGAGAGGCCTCTCTAGCTGCCTTCTGCTGATGAAATGGGTCATGCTGCCCGTTCTGCTCCAGGCAGTTTTCATGGAGCCTCCACAGTCACGCT